TTATAAACAAAAACTTTCTTAATAGGTGTGAATTCACTTAATGTCACATAAATTAGAATTCAGTCTTACTCGACACGAAGAAACGGCTTTAAGGTCTAATGCTCTCCTCGGCTTACATTTAAGGACGACTAGGAGATGCTGCCTTGATCGCCCGATAGTAAATTAAACCTGTTTGGTGTAGGGCGGCGACGCGCGGTGTGATATTGGAATCGGAAAGTTTATGAAGGCTTAATAGTACTAGAGCGTATCTTGGTATGAATTACAGATACATTTGTGGACATAATTCCCTGATACATGGCAAGTTGGCAGTATCTGGCTTGTAATTATTTCAGGATCATAAGATGAGGGATACACAAGTATATATATATATATATATATATATATATATATATATATATATATATATATATATATATATATATATATATATATATATATATATATATATATATATATATATAATCACACGGGAAAAGGGAAACAACAGAGCACCTTAGCTTTCGTCTTTATTCAAGACATCTTCAGAGGCAACTGGATTACATGGACAGAGAGAGGCTTAAATATACAGGGTGACCTTAAAAACATGAGGTCAGGTCATAATGATGTCATCCACTAATCCCCACACCAACACACACGTAGAGGAGCTTAAGAGAAGGGGGGTGACGTGACTAGTCAGGTCAAAAATAAGGGACCCACTAAATAACTATCATACATCTAGATCAAAGGTTTTCAAAGCATTCCTAACCTTGGGCCACTGACAAATAAATTTATGTAACATATCAGTTTTGAACTGACCATCACTAAGGTTTATTGATTTTAATTCCTTAATCAAACTGAAGATGTCTTGAATAAAGACGAAAGCTACGGTGCTCCGTTGTTTCCCTTTTCCCGTGTGATTTTATCAAGATATATATATATATATATATATATATATATATATATATATATATATATATATATATATATATATATATATAATCTAGTAGATGCCATATAATGTCAAGTGTCCAGGAAATTTTTGTCCGTAACTGTATATTAATTCCCTTTGTGGTGACAATATCGTAAAGGTGATGCCTGAACCTAAATATGTGTAGAAATGTACTATACAGTGTACTTGCAAAAACCTATTCATTAAGTTCTAAATGAGTGCATTATAGTATGTTATTATTATTATTGTTGTCCTTCAGTGGGGAAGTGACTAGGACTGTGGGACTGGTTGTAATGGTTGAGGGAGGGCGGGAACACGATTGGCCAGAGGGTATGAAAATGCTCCACCACTCGTCTGGCCGGTCTGTGGTATTTCCGGAATTCCTCCTTTTCTCTCTTTTTCCCTTCCTCTACCTCCTCTTCTTCCTCGGTACTTGTCACTCTTTTTTGTTCATCATTCTGGCCACTTACCAGTTTATTAGCCATTTGGCTGCTCTACCTAGTGTTAGTACAGGAGGAAACCGGGGACCGGAAACCTGTGGTAGTGAGGTTCACACTGGATAACACCCTTCTCGCGTGTCCGAGCAGAGGCTCGAACCCTTGACATACCGATGAGAATTACGCGCGTTGTCGCTGTACATTTAATTTCCTTTCCCTTCCTCATACTTTCCCATGTCCCACCTTTTCTTTATTTTCCCCTCCCTTCCTCCCTTGTCCTTTACACTCGCATCTCTCTTATTTCTTTTCCCCAACTTTCTCTTCTCTTCCCCCTCTCTCACTCCACATCATTCTCCCTCTTGAGGCTTTTTTTTTAGTTTAACAAATTTATTGGCAAAGCTTGTAGTACAGTTTGCCTATTCTGAGTAATTCAGTCAGGTCTTGACACTGAGGGTTCTTAGGCACTCATTACCCCCTCCCCCCTACCCTTATGTAACCCTCAAACACCACCCCTCCCACTTCTAGATAACCTAAACCGCCCACATCATCCTACCTCTGAGTAAGGTTTACTGTGAGTCTCGCTACCGTGTAAAGCTGTTTATTAAAGATAACAGATGACTAATACTAACCAAGTGTGTGTGTGTGTGTGCGCGCAAGATGATCGTCCGATTTGGCCTTGAAACTCGAGGAACTCAGCTACATTGTTTTGTTCGTGACTGGAAATTATTTTTTAGTTCATATTTGGTAAACCTATCAGAGGTAAATTAATGACCCAATAAGCACTCTTAACATTATAGAAAACTACCTTAATTGAATTATGTTAGGTAATGTTTGTTAAGTTAGTACTGGTGGTAGTTATTTATGTTTTATATATATATATATATATATATATACACTATATATATATATATATATAACACCTGATTTGCATTAATTTAGTCTGTACCACTGAAGATGCAGAATTACACTTAAAGTTTCTTGGGAACTCCTGTATTTCTTCCTTATATATATATATATATATATATATATATATATATATATATATATATATATATATATATATATATATATATATATATATATAATTTTTTCTTCTTAAATTATTAAACATTAATGTTGTTTTTAAGTATGACTCAACTATTACTAACATATTAATCAAAAATAGCCCAACCTTGAATGTAAATGGAAGTGTTTATTGTATTCCATGAAGCAATTGTAATGGAAATTATGTAGGTCAGACTGGAAAAGCATTACAACTCAGAATTAAACAGCACAAGTACAATATTAGAACAGCATCTGAAAGCAGTGCACTGTTCGTTCGTATAAGGAACAATAATCATCCCATATGTAGGGAAAACAGCTTAGAAGTGTATAAATCATCATGTGTCACAGAAAGACTTCTGGTTGAAGCAAGTTTGATTGGGGAATTAAATTCTATAAACCTTAGTGATGGTGAGTACAAAACTGATATGTTACACAAATTTATTTGTCAATGGCCCAAGGTTAAAAATGCTTTGAAAGCATTCGAGTTAGATGTAGGATAGATGATTAGTGGGTCCCATATTTTTTACCTGACTTAACATGACTAGTTGTGTTGCCCTTTCTATTAAACTTCTTTGTGTGTGTGGTAGTATTGGTGTGCGGATTAGTGAATGTCGTTTTTATGACCTGACCTCATTTTTAGTAAGGTTGTGGGGTTTTTAGATGTTTGGTTCACACTCAGGATGGGATGGAGAAAGGAAACTCACAATGTGCTCTCTGTATACATGTTGTATTGGATGTACAATGCAGCTTGGTGCTGGGAAGTGGCAGCGTGGTTACAAGCGTGATGTAGAGAGAGCTGGTTGGTGAGGGTGCTCAAAGGAGGACAGCTTGTGGGTCGCCATGCTCGCCGGCGGGAGCGAGGACCGCCAGGCAGGCGGAGGAGGTGTTGCTGGCTGGTTGGTGTAGGTAGAAAGAGCGTGATCACCATGAGGTCAGGTCTTAAATAGCGGGGGTTGGCGTGGCTTAGTAGTTGACCCCCGCTCCGTGGGCGGCGCTGGTTGACCTAGACCATGAGGCACACACTGGAATTCGCGGGGTCGGCTATGCAGCGACAAACAGCGTTTGTAGGGGAGTAATCCACTACAATACTCCCCCTTCCCTCCAGGCGGTGTAGGAGACTTGTTGTCTGCAGGGTTGCATAGCACAAGTGAGGCAGAACGGGCGGTGCATGCCTCATGTGAGACAACGGCGATGGCGTGGATGAGCCGGTCGCTAGAGACAACTGTCTAGATACACAATATCTGTGGGAGTAGAGAGGGAGGAAAAGGGTGTGTGGAGGCGATGAATGTTGTACTTCCGCGCGGCATGTACAGGGTCGTCAGATACGCCTGCTGGGGTGTGTGGGCCTGGGTCAGGAGCAGGGGCTGCGTCAGCAGAAGCGGATGAGGGCTCGTGACAGCAGCTGGGTCTACGACAGCAGCAGGGTGCAGGACATTAGCAGGGAGTACCTGAGGGAGAAAAGAGGGGTGTGTGGGTCCGCACTCAGGAGCAGGGGCCACGGCAGGGGGTACTGCTGGGCCGGGGCGGCGTCTGAGGCAGGACGGGTGTGTTGGTCCGCGTCAGGAGCAGGGGCGCAGGGGGTACTGCTGGGCCGGGAGCGGCGTCTGAGGCAGGACGGGTGTGCTGGGGTCGGTAGGACGTGGTGCTTGGGGCAGGAAGAGGAGCTGGTGTCTGCTTAGAGAAGCAGTGCTGCTCTAGGGTGTCTAACCTGCGGTTTAGAGACAGTAGCTGTAGAGCCGATGAGAGCTGCTTCTGGGTGGATAAGCCAGTCTTCCATGTTGCTTGAAGACTGGGAGAGTGATCAGTTTCTCCTCCATCCTGTGTGAGTGCGAATCTCCGGGGGTCACCATTTGTGGGGTATGATATGTTTGGTTCACACTCAGGATGGGTTGGAGAAAGGAAACTCACAATGTGCTCTCTGTATACATGTTGTATTGGATGTACAATGCAGCTTGGTGTTGGGAAGGCAGCATGGTTACAAGTGTGATGTAGAGAGAGCTGGTTGGTGAGGGTGCTCAAAGGAGGACAGCTTGTGGGTTGCCATGCTCGCTGGCGGGAGCGAGGACCGCCAGGCAGGCGGAGGTGTTGCTGGCTGGTTGGTGTAGGTAGAAAGAGCACGATCACCACGAGGTCAGGTCTTAAATAGCGGGGGTTGGCGTGGCTTAGTAGTTGACCCCCGCTCCGTGGGCGGCGCTGGTTGACCTAGACCACGAGGCACACACTGGAATTCGCGGGGTCGGCTATGCAGCGACAAACAGCGTTTGTAGGGAAGAAATCCACTACAAGGTCACCCTGCGTACTTAAGCCTCTCTCGGTCCTTGTAATTCAGTTGCCTCTTAAGATGTCTTGAATAAAGACAAAAGCTAAGGTGCTCCACGTTTTCATTGTGGATCTACATGATATATATGCTGTATATATATTTGTTATATTCCATTTGTTATTCCTTTTTGGGATTTGCTGTAATGGACAGCATTATTTTGGTGCAGCAATAAGCAGATTGTAATACCCATTATTATTATTACATTTTTAGAAATATATTTAGATTTTGTATCAAAATTACATTAGTTATGTCATTTTCTTATATTTTGCAGCAGATGGCAGGGATGCTGGTAATCGCCAGGGACAAGGTATTGGAACCCAGCAACCTCCAGTTGGATACAATATTAGTCCTGGTCAAGTACATGGAACAGCTGCAGGTAATTCAAAATGGCAAGTGGGAGCAGATCAAGGATCACTAACAAAAAAAGAGAAATGGCCACCAGTACCAATTCCTAGCCACCATACTCCGTCATCTCTACTGAGGCAACCGGAAAGTTCTGAAGGATCCCGTCTCGGCGCAGGTCGATCCCCTACTCCAGAACCTCTCCTGCCTCCTAGTGGACACCTATCTTCAGGACATCCTTCTGGACATGCAGAACAATACCCAGGACCTTCACATCAGGCAAATGATTGTTATATTCAGTTTGATCAGGTACCAAAGGAAATGGCCCCACCACCCCCTCCAGAATCTTCACCACAATTGGCTTCCCGTGTACGAGGAGCCACCCAAGAGAAGATAAGATTAATTGGAGGAGACTCTATAGAGTTACTCCCACTATACCGTGTCCTCATAGAACAGCCATATTTCCATGTAATATCCCGAGGCAAATCAATGAATATTCTTGAGAATGGTAAGAGAACTTCTTTGATGTACAGTATGTATTTGTATATACACAGTTTTTTTAGCTTAAGTTTTCTTCTCCGTATTACATCAGTTGTATTATTACAGTACTGTAATACAGAAAGTTTGTTTAGGTTCAGAAAAGAACTGGAATCAGGAATTTTTCCAATTTTAGAAATAATGTGCTTAAAAATTTACATAGAATATTAAAATAAATTAGAAAAATATGCCAGAGGTTAGATGGTGTGGTCACTAGACAACTACAGAATTAAATATACAATACTGTACTGTACAGTTTTGTATACAGTATTTTGTTATAGTTAAAAACAGTACAGTATATTATCAATTGGTAAAAGAAAAACAAGTTAAATTAACACAAACTTATTGATAGGTGTGTGTGTGATAAGGTGTATCAAACATGTATCTTATACACTTGTATCTATGTATGTACAAGAGTAAGTTCATAAACCATAATGCAGTACCCTGTACAAAATAAACACTGGTAAGTGTGTGTTTGTGATGTGAAAAGGTGTCGGCAGTTACTTCTGATATGCTGCCAGGTGTCAATTAAATTAATTTGACAATTAACTGAAATAACCAGTAAATCAGGAAATTAAAACTCTTTAAAAAATTCCTTATTTCAATCAGTTTCACTGTAAAACTTCAATATCTGCTGTTCATTAGCCATCAAATCATATATGGTGATTTTTCCAATTCTGTATTCATGCACGAGTTTGTTTGCAGTTTCATTTCATTCAAGATTTATCTTCTTATTTTTTTTTCTTTATTAATTGTCAGTAAAAGTGGTGTAAGGCAATAAAACTTTAACAGGTAGATAATTTGCACCAGATTAAAAAATAAAAATAAAATGCTTGGAGTTTAGAGATTTCCAATGTTTGGAACCATGGATTAGTCAGTACACAACCTGTATTGATATGGTAGTAGTGCAGTACAGTACTTGGCAAGTGATTGTGGAAATACTGTAGTACTGTACAGTACCATACTCTTTATTATTGTACACAGTATGTGGGTTAGCCATAATGGCATGGTAGTCTGGTTATCAAGTAAATTTGAGCCAGATTACTGTACTGTATATGGCTGGATGCCCTTCTTATTGCCAGCACACTTTTATAGAGTGGGAACAGGGCATAGTTTTAATTTCATGGTTCAGCAATCCTGAACTCAGCAAGTTTATTTGAGGTACTGTATTATATGATCTTGTCTGCCATGGAGAAAATCTCCAATTTTCTTGATTTGTCATCTGGTAAGGGATTCTAAAATCGAGAAACGTGCTAACAAATTATATTGCAGTATGGTATTAATGTGAATTAATTTTCTGTACTTGTACGATAATTTTCAGCTTCAGATGGCATGTTCCTGATACGTCCATCAACTCGGTCCAAAGATCCACTGACACTCTGCCTTAGACATGGAGGTCGCACCTACAATATCAATATCAGGCATCGCTCTGATGGATTATTTGCTTTGGGCTTTGAGAAGACTAATGAAATGGTAAGTTCAATTTATTTTTATTATTATTTTTATTTATTTATTGTTCCTAGACATGATCTGATTTTGCAGTGGAATTAGGTAGATAGCATCATGTGAATAATACAGGAACAGACTGATGATATATGCTGTAAGTATGAGAGACTAAAACAAATTCAGTCTTATTATATAACAGTATTATATTGAGTTTATAATAGTAAAAGGCATTTTCTTTCAGCATATCACTTTTTTCTACCATAATGGTGACTGTATACAGAATCACCCTTGTTTGTATACGTTCACTACATACAGTATACATGTCGCTACTGGAACAACTTATGGCATATACTGTACACTGTGGTCCCTCGGTTAACGAACACAATTCGTTCCATGGAGTCTTTCGTTAACCGAAAATTTTTTGACCTAATCCATTGTTTCAATGGGATATTGGGTAATTGGTTCCAGCTCACAGAAAAATACATACAAAGTAAAAAAAAAAAGCAGTAAAGTACACTTACTTTGAGATGTATATGTAGAAGGTTCCTGGTTGATGATGATGATGATGGGAATTAGAAGTGGGGTGGAGGAGAAGGGAGAAGAGAAGGAAGTGGGGATGGAGGAGAAATCACCTTTCAGGGGACCCATGCTTGATGCAGTAATTTCACCAATAAAATTTTAAGTTCACTCGGTGTAATTCAAGATTATTTTATTTCAATCAAGACTGCACTGCGCTATATATTATCGATATGTTAACTAAATTTCAGAAAGACCAATAATTTTAGTGTAAAAATGCAAAAATATTTAAGACACCAACAAAATCGATGTTCACTCCACTGGAAATAAAGCCAGACTGACACCTGGTGGGTGAGTCAAACGGCTGATAGGCGCACAAAAAACTAGTTCCCCGTACTGCATATATTATATTATCAATATGTTAACTAAATTTTAAAATGACTAATAATTTTAATGTAAATATAAAGAGCACAACTTTCTTGATATTTACTCCACTGGAAACGAATGTAAACATAGAACTCATTACTGAATTGGCAGACTAGCCAATCAGCTGATGCTCACAACAAAACGTGTTTGTCGTAAGTATACTGCCTGATTCTGAGGTCACCAATTCCAAGGGAATAACTTAACTCTGTTCATAATTTTAAAGTCGCTGCCACCAGACACCCCCCCCCCCCCTGGACAGTATGTAGCTCGTTAGGTAGCGAGGAGAGTAAGCTAGGCATTGGGTTGGGTTTTTCATTGACCAAATCGAGAGTGGGAAGAAGAGTGAAACATCGAGCATGACTTAACTAATTTATTCCTTAAAAAACATATTGCATCCCATCACAATACAAAAAGAGTTTGCCTTCATCAAAAGAATAACTATTATTTTCATTACACTTCACATCAATACACGTCTTACATCAAATAATTACTATTATCATCTTCATTCTTCATAACCCATGACCTCCTTACCTTGGTCATTCCTTCTTATCATAACACCCAACACATCAGATTGCACCACCTCTTAGAGTGTAGCATCACATATTACATTACAGCACCACATGTTATATCATAGCACCACATCCCGGGTACACTCCACACCTACAAATTTGGAACTCCTCGGTATTCTTAGGTACACACACAAGGTATCTCGTTCACACTCTACTATTGCGGAGTAGATGGGATACTTTCCAAGTAGTAATCATACCAGCACTGGTTCCACTCCTGTTACTATTAAGTCGCTCCACGTAGCTACCGCGAAACTTCTCAAACATACAGTTATTTTCTCCTATCCTGAGTGGTGATATGTAGGGTATCCACAGTGGAGGTGCATAAGGGCGGTAAGCACACACACCCCACATGGTACGTTCCTCACAGTGGTGGTAATGGCGACGCTCTGGAAGCGTGCATACCTGTTTTGATGAGAGAGCAGGTATAACTGAGCGTGGTGCCCTGCGTCTCTCACTGAACTAGGCCTACAGTTTCCAATCTTTAATTTTCACTTTGATATTATTCTTGTTCTTACATGTAAACTTTCCTATCTAGTGTGGCCTTATGCCTTATAATTATATATCTTAATCCTAAATTACATACTAAAGTAAGGTTCTGGTTTTGCCAGTTCCTGGGGAAATTAATTGGGCTATATCATTAACTCAAAACTGTTGCCCGGGGCGGAATGGACTCCAACATAGAACAATGCCTAGCTTCATATTTTCATGGCATGGGTATATCCACTTCACTTCAATCTGTATTTAAGGATCCTCCCCTCACACGTTGCATAAGATTCTCTGATCATTGTATTGTTCGTGATTATTTGTCACATGAGATAACGAGATGTATTAACCTCACACCGAGGCATACAAGATATTTTATTTGGAGTACAGTTTCCGGATCACTTCCAACACTTCACATAGGTCTGATACATTTATCCTTTTTCCAGATCATTGTTCTCTTATATTTTCATCTGATACCTGCGGTAGTTATGTTCACTAATCGTTCACAGACGTAAATAGTATGACCTTCAAACACGATCTACACTTATCCCTTATAGTACACTAGTCCGTATCAATTGGACCTTCCCAATCATCCTGTAGATACCTTGAGTTCTCCTTAATGCTTTAAGTACATACACTTAATATTATATGACCGTACCTTGGTACAATTTGTATAAAACATACAGTAGGTGAGTTATCCTTTACCAACATTTCCCGTTTTCTGAGACTATACAAGCGCGGTGGATTTGAATGTTATGTTGCGTAATATGAATTAAAGAGATATTAAGGATGACAATGATGTGTGCAGGAGGGAGAAGGTGGATGTCTTAACTAACCCATGGCCTAGGGATACTACTGTACTTAAAATGTGGTTTTGGGGCATGAGGCGATGAATAGTACAACACTGTTCACTGGCCTCCCCCTATAGGATGTCTAACATACCACTATTGAAAAAATATGTCGCAGTCATGGCTCGCCGGGTGCCTTATCTATAGTAACACAAACTTTGGAGTTGGTTGCGTGGGTGATGATATATATATATAATCATTGAATATCTGTGTGTTGGTAATCTTGTTATTCACTCATTTTGTATTTAAAATTTACAGACCTTCTCTTCAGTTGAAGACATTATCAATACTCATAGACGGGAACCAATCAAGCTGCAGAATGGAGAACGGGCAATGCTGACCGTCTCCCCCAGGAAATCTGAACACATTTATGTCCAGATTACAAATTCTAGACAAATGGAGCTGAAAAAGTAGACTTTGTTTTTAAGATTTGAATAGAAGTGGAGAAATTTTGAAAAAAACAAAACAATTTCTTCACCCACAGGATGACATTTTTCAGATAAGGAAGGGATAATGTGAAGTCTTAACTACTGTACATGGTAAACAGTTTCTCTAACAAACTAGTGGGTGTTATAGGTATCATCAAAATAGCCAACAATAGAAAAATGTCTAGTTGGAATGCTAAACTGTTATTTTATTATAAAGTAGATAACCAAACCTAACCTACTATAGGTTGGGTTAAACTATTTCTTGATGGTATGTGTTTTCTGAAAATTTAATGGTACACAGGTCTTATTGTTTTTAAACTTGTTCTATTTTGCATATTATCATGTGTTGTGTTTAACAAAAACAAGATGAGAAACCTTTGTACAACTTTTGAGACATTGTTGCTTTAGGTTACTATACCGGCTCCAATAGACTGTCTATCACTTAGTGTTGACAATTTGTCACATAGAAATGACTTAAACTTGAATAGAATATTACAAATATGAAATGACAGCTTCACCTGAACTGACATGTCATTGACAACGAAATGACACTGGCAGTTGTAAGTGACATTGTGGCACTGTACACTGAAATAGAATAAGGCATTTGAATACGCCAATGTACTTGTAACTGATAACTTGTAAATTGGATTAGAGAACCTGTCTTTCCCAATGACCTCACCTGATGTACCTCAATCCATTTCAGCTTGATGTTATCCAACCTTAAAGATTTTTTTAAGCATTATTAAATCGCTTCTGTTCATTCTTCACACAGATTGACTGAAATATTAAAAAAAAAGAATTAAGAAAATTACCTTTCAGTTAGATTATCTCTACTAACCCTTTCACTGTGGAGACGCCACTTTTAATGTTTTGTTTAGCTAACGTCAGACGATTTTATTCAACTTGGAGGGGGCCTGGTACACAGGGTGATGAAAATGACTATCTTGACTTCGAATGCGAATCTAAGAAAAACGTGGATGGGCCATATAAATAGTCAAAATAAAAATCTTGCACAATAATCCTTTAATAAATATCGGTATCCATCTGGATTACTTGATGGCAAACATGTCCGCCATGTTGCTGATGTCTAATTCCCTTGTGCGGTGAATCTGCATCAGAGACAGCACCTGTGATCACCTACCCTAATGCCTCCCCCCCCCCCTCCCAATAATCTGGTGTCAGTGGCAGTAACCCTGATCATGTTACATCATAAGTCCTGTCACCTCACATCTACAGCCTCTCACTTGGCGGTTCCTTTAAAATGTTGCGAATTTGACACCTGACAGTCACAAATCCCCATTTAGTGTTATACCACTAGCCAGAATGTGTACGAACTGGTCTAGTTACAAGTTAAATTTTACATGGTGTGATGTAGTTTAATGTGACACAAGGTGTCTTATGTGAAAAGGGGGGTTCGACTGAGTGCCCCAAATCCCCCCTGGATCTGCCACTGGATATTTAAGAAGCTTACAGTAGAGTAGTACTGTATTCTATTTACTACATGATTACCAGTAGGTATCACCTTTTATTTCATCAATTATGTGTCACATGTACAAATACTAGAAGGAATGTACCATGTAAATTTTGAAACATAGATGCTGACTAGTCTAAGTAACATTGTATGTTCCCTGTACCTCATTCCACCCTACAAAAATAACAAAAACTATATCCAGTTCCATGATATACGTATATATAAAACAAATAATATTAATGCAGTATGTTGTACATACATGAAGTGTCCCAGAAAAATCTCCTTCCCTACTCCCTGGACACTGAGTTGGAGGGAGGTAGGGATATTTTTCTGGGACACCTTACATAAGTACAGACCAGTGTTAATGACATAATTTAACTGTGTAGTTCCCATTTTGTCATCTGTCCCACACTAAAACAGACAATACAGGTATCCCATGTTTAGTGATCGGGATACATTTCTGAAAAACCGATCACTAAACGAGGGGGGAACAAGTACTGTACAGGAAATGTAGCTTAGAAATAAAAAATATTTTACTGTAGTATATGGCATACAGTACAGTACAATATTTTAAAGAAAATAATACAGTAATAAATAACTGTAACACTTACTTTGTGAGGTGATCTGACAATATGTAGATGATATTCTGAAAGTGCAATGGTCACACTGGTAAATGAAGTAAAAACCCACATTGCAGAAATAAATGAAAAAAATCCTATACATGAGATCAACTATACATGAGTATATATGGTAACACGTTGTAGGTTACATGTGCAGTGACGTATTCAAATGCCTTACTGGTATTCCATTTCAGTGTAATGTGATTGTCGTGATGTCACTTACAACTGCCAATGTCATTTCATTGCCAGTGACATGTCAGTTCAGCTGAAACTCCTTTCATATTTGTAATATTCATTTCTATTTTGGTGGAAATCATTTCTATGCGACAAACTGTTTATTCGAGCCGGCAAATGGTTTTCTACTACATTATATGTGTTAATTTTTAATAAGCTCTAAAACACATTAATCATTCCAATGTATAATTGTTACTAGATATTGCATGTTTTGTTTAGACTTATGTAAGATAAATTGCCTACTTTAGATGTATAAACTAGTATTGACTTGAGTAATTATACACTACATAATTATTCAAATTTTATATCTGAAACTTTATTGTTAATTATTTGTTATTGCTTAGAAATACAGTATGGGCATTGCAATTTGTGTTGAAGTGCTTGCAACATGTTACTGCAGTACTTTTGTTCAATTTATGTGCTTCATTGTTTATGTTACAGATGCAAGTTAAAAATTAAAATGATTGGTACAGAATGTTAAATGATATTATGTCTTGGGCCTTTTATTCCCATATAATGTGCAGTGTCATTCCAGTTAGATTTTCCCAGTTTGAAAGTAGCATCTTTCATGAATACTCTACTCTACTGTGTGAGACTTTTTTTTTGCTGTACATCCACTCATCTTCCCATGAACACGGAAAATATTACACACACACACAACTATCTCTAACACATTTGTTTGGACATTTAGAATGAATGGCAGTATATACAGTAAGCCCTTGCTATTCACGAGGGTTAGGTTCCAAGGAATAGCACTAATTGGCAAAACCACGAATAGCAACTTATACTACCTTACTGCATTGCAGTATTGTATACAGTACCTATACAGTGCTGTGTATGAGAAACTTGAGTCACCAATACTACTCTCATTCATACGTGGAAGTTTGAAGCTTGAATTGTACTGTACAGTAGGATGAAATGTGCTTACTGAAGCATAGGGAGATCATCAGGATTGCTGTTGGAAGAGGGTGATGCAGTGGTGGTTGGTGGAGAGGCACATGGCAGGGAGGCGGGTGGTGCAGTGGCATGTGGCAGGGAGATGGGTGGTGGAACAGCGGCGGCAGCTGACTGAGTAGTCATATCAGCTGGGCAAGCAGCTGGCTCTTTCTTGAAAAAAATCGTGATTGGTAGTTGTTTCCTCTTGGCTTTTGGGAGCTATGGGCCAAGAATGTATTTAGATATATTAATTATGAAAACATTTAGCTCCTGGGGAAGACAATACCATTTATCACTGAAGATATCAATTCATGAGGTTCAACAACCATTTTTTTTCTGAATGTAATCTTAAAGTTTTTAGATTTTTATGCTTTCTTTTGTAAAAAAAAAATTAACTTTTTTAAGTGATGAATTTATTATGGTACATCCAGAAATGTAAAGGAGACATTTTATTTATCAAAAATTCCTAATTAGTCACAAAATGTGTGGGTAAAAATAGTGCCTTCTTTCAATAAATGGTTGCCTTTTACCTAGGCTCCTTACTCACATCCGGGTTGGATGTAAGTAAGGCGCTTGGACCGGGCGGAATACCCCCTCGTGTTCTGAGGAAGTGTGCTGAAGTTCTGGCCTCTATGTTTGCTCGCCTCTTTCGCCTTTGCCTCACAACCCAAACTTTTCCTTCTCTTGGAAGCATGCCTTGGTTCAGCCCATCCTAAAGAAGGGTGACCATTCTAATCCCGCTAACTATCACTCCATTGCCCTAACTTCATCCCTCTCTAAGATTTTCGAAACTACCGTATCTCAAACTCTCATTTTCTCCGTCACCTTGAACGCTTATCTCTTTTGGCTTTCGCCAGGCGAGATCTACTGGTGATCTGCTCTCCTACTGCACCCTTCTTTGTTCATTCTCTTTTAGGGATTATGGGGAAACATTCATCGTGTCCCTCGACATATCCAAAACATTTGATAGGGTATGGCACAAGTCTTTGCTTTCTAAACTTCCCTCTTATGGTTTCTCTCCCCCACTTTGTTCTCTAATTTCTAGCTTCCTGGAAAGCCGATCCATGGCAGTTGCTGTCGAGGGATCGATCTCTCGCTTTTTCTCCACCAATAGTGGCGTCCCACAGGGTTCTTTTCTTTCACCTACTCTCTTCCTTCTTTTTATCAATGATTTACTTCACACTACAATTAATTCTATCCATTCTTACACTGATAATTCTATTCTTCAGTCTTCTTCACATTTCTCCCTTCCCCCTAATTCTCAAACTAGATCTGTTTTCAGAGCTGATATCATTTCATTTATCAATGCGGACCTGTGCAGCATCTCCGAATGGGAAGGTAAAAACTTGGTTAAATTTAATAGTTATAAAACTCAGTATTTCCCAGATACACTTTCCAAATTAGATGATCTCCCACCAATCACATTTCAGGACACAATCATTCTGCCAAGTTCTAAAATAGATATGCGAGGCCTTGCCATTTCCTCTACTATGTCATGGAAGCCACTCATCCACAACATTGCTAAAGCTGCCTCCCAAAAGCTAGGAATGCTGTACAGATGCCGTAACTACTTCACTCCTGAGGAGTTGCTTCAAGTTTATAAGGGATTCATTCGTCCTCATTTAAAGTACTGCTCTCATATCTGGGGTGGCTCTTCTTCGGTTCAATTGTTAGATAGGGTGGAATCAAAATCATTTCGTTTTATTAACTCTCCTCCTTTAGTTGATAATCTTTCTTCCCTTTCTCTTCACCGCAATGTTGCTTCACTCTCGCTTTTACAGGTACTTTAACGGGCAATGTTCGGTGGATTTGGCATCCTGTGTACTGCCAGCAAGGCCGTGGGTTCGTAACACTAGTCTTGCCTGCAGTGCCCACTGTTTCTCTGTGGCTGTCAGTCACACTAGAATAACCTGTTATAGTACATCCTTCTTTCGTCACACAGCCAAACGGTGGAATGCTCTGCCTTCTTCTGTGTTTCCATACTCCTACAATCTGTCTTGCTTTAAAAAGCTGGTTTTCCTGCATCTTTGTGGTGAAGATTAGTATAACCTTTTTCTTTTCTATTTATAATTTTTTTTACTCTTATTTTTTCGCTCCCCTAGGCCCTGTTGTGGGTTGATGACCTGTGCCCAGGTCGGCTATTCCTCGTAAAAAAAGTGGGGGAGGCATCTTCAATAATAAAATGAAGACTTTGATATCATGTATTTTTTACTTTTAGCCTCTTTTTCCACTGATCAGCTTTTTAGCCACTTGGTCAGTCGATCACATCTTTTACCCTGTTGACAAGTACTGGGCATGTACTAGCTCCTGAATGTATCCGTATCTGCAAGTGTTGGTCAAGTCTGGTCTTGAAAGAGCTCGCACCTGGTTTTGTTACAAAACTATCTTGCAGATTGTTCCAAGAGTTTACAATTGCCACTCCGATAAAGTTGCCCTCACATTTTTTCTGGGCTTGTGGCTTTTTCAATCTTTAACTTGGACACCTTGTGGGGCAGGTGCCTGGCAGCTTCAGGTATGGACACTTGACTAAGTAGTGTCCTCAGAGATGTTTATACACTTAAATTAGGTCACACCTTGCTCGTCTGTAGTATAAGTTAGGCAGTTGCGGGCATTCTAATCTCTGAGTAGCTGAGGTGTCATAATGCAGGCACTGGTTTGGTGGCCCTCCTTTGGACATTTTCAATCTACTAACAGTCTTTAGCATATCTCAGGGACCAGGTGGGGTGGCACAATCGTCCAATGAGATGATTCGCTCAAAGTGGACTGCGTTCCCGCTCAATTCCATCCCAAAACAGGGACGGATCCAGGAATATCAAAAGAGGGGGAGGGGGGGAATCATGGTGAGTGCAGAGAACCTGTGGGGTACGAGATGTTTGGGTTCACACTCAGGATGGGATGGAGAAAGGAAACTCACAATGTGCTCTCTGTATACATGTTGTATTGAATGTACAATGCAGCTTGGTGCTGGGAAGGCAGCATGGTTACAAGCGTGATGTAGAGAGAGCTAGTTGGTGAGGATGCTCAGAGGAGGACCAGCTTGTGGGTCGCCATGCTCGCCGGCGGGAGCGAGGGCCGCCAGGCAGCGGCGGAGAGGTGGTGTTGCTTGCTGCGGCAGTAGCTAGAAGAAGAGGGAGGGCACCACGAGGTCAGGTCTTAAATAGCGGGGGTAGGCGTGGCTTAGTAGTTGACCTCCGTGATGTATGGCGGTGTTGGTTGACCCAGACCACGAGGCATACACTGGGGAATTCGCGGGGTTGGCTACTCGGCGACAAACAGCGTTTGTAGGGGAGAAATCCACTACAAGCCCACCCAACTGGGGGCGCTGTAAGCCCCCACAGATTTTTTTTTTATCTGACCAATATCATGGGCATTTTGAGGTGATATTCTGAAGTCAATAGTAAATATTTTTTACTATACAAAAATATCTGATTACAATACTGCATTAAAGAAAAGGTATTGGAATTTTCTGGTGAAAAGGGGGGTCTGGACCCCCTGAATCCGTCCTTGCAACAACTGCCAACTCCCTCCCAAAAACAGCTAAAAAATGCCCAAATCCAGCATTATCAGTAATATAATGTGTAACGCTCAAGAGGACAAAGGTAAACAAAAAGGGGAAACATTTTATTTAATCGCTAAAGTAAGCATTGACATACAAACACATGCTTGCACTATTATTCTTGATATCATTATGTTATATAATATGAAATGAAAAAAAAAATTAACCAAGGAGATTTAAAAACTTGAGGAGGCATGACATATACTGGAAGCTATTGTAGTGGATTCCTCCCCTACAAACGTCGTGTGTCCCTGACTAGCCGACCCCCGCGAATCTCTCAGCGTATCCCTCGTGGTCAAGGTCAGGTAACCAGCGCCCCCGAACAAAGTGGAGGTCTACCCCCGCTATATAAGACCTCACCTGGCCGTGACCTGCCCTTCTTCTAGCTACAGCCGCAGCAAGCAACATCACCTCTGAGCACCCTCACCAACCAGCGCTCCCTACTCACGCTTGTAACCACGCTGCCTCCTCCCAGCCACCAAGCTGCATTGTACATCCAATATAATATGTATACAGAGAGCACATTGTGAGTTTCCTTTCTCCATCCCATCCTGAGTGCGAACCAATATCACATAACCCCACACTATGACCCATCATGCTTCTTCAGGTTTATTAAATCATCTTAGTTTGAACGATCATAATAAAATCCAGATAATGAATAATGTGCAATGAAAACTCTTGACACATGAGCTCTGTTCAACTAATAAATTTAATCAAACCCAATTTCTCCATTGTATTTTGATATTGGAATGTATTACTTTTCTTTTATCTTCTTCGCCACTGATCGGCGCGAAAGCTACGTTCAGAGATCAATTTAACTCAGATTGTTGAAGGACAAAAAGAGAATACCAGGGGTTTGTCTTTTCCCTAAAAAAAAAAAAAAAGCTTTGGTTTATAAGACGAAGTGAATTCAGACCCAAATCGGCATAACCCAATTTGGTTGACAGTTAGCTGTGGATTATTTATCCAGGGTTAACACGGATGGATATACTGTATATATTTACCTTTATCCTCTTCGCCACTGATCAGCTCGTTAGCCGCCTGGGCGGTCGGTCATGTCTAATACGCACTGTTGGCAGATACTTGCAGTGGCGGCTCGTGAAAAATAAAATGGAGGGACTGCAAGCTTCACACAACAGTAGGATACACAAATTTGACCTACCTCAGGTATGAGTTGTAGTTGATGTCCACGAATTCCCAGGGCATGGTAGTAGTGTTGGTGGTGATGGACCAGTATTAATTGAAAATAAAGTCGGCGTGTCTGCTCTTCGATGTAGCAAAATTGTTTATTACTATTTCATTAAAATCCTTTATTTCTGTTATCATTTTATTTTCAATGGATATCACTGCTAAAGCAGACAGTCTGTCATTCACCATGTATTACTTGAAAATAAAGTCCGTACTGTTCTGTTGAATGGATAAAACTGGTGTAGGTCTTCCTCTTGCTTTGATTTCAGTCTTTTCATTTAATGTCAGCTGGGAAAAGTTGATGTTTTGCAAATACTTCACTCGATTTTCCATCGTCAAAGGGTAATTAAAGAAAGCACGAGTTAACCACACCGTCCACACGCAATGTAAACACGAGACTGAGCTGCTTCAAGTGCGGCGGCGGCGGCGGCGCCAATTAATAACAGACATGAATCGTACAGCATTGACAGCAACTATGAAAGTAACTTAAATTTTGGTCTGATTTTAATGAAAATTCACTTAGCAACGTATTGAAAATAATTAAATAGCATATAAAATGATATATTTGTTGGTAGTGTATTATTCAGCTGTCTCTCTAAAGGAATCATACGCCTGGCAGTGAGTGTCTGGGGGGACTGCAGCCCTATGCACGAGCCGCCACTGATTTGTACCTACGACAGTGTTGGTCTTAAAAAGAGCTCACACTCGGTGCCGTCGCAACACTTTCTGGTAGATTGGTCCAAGAGTTCACAACTCTCACTCCGAAAAAGTTTGCCCTCACAGTTTTCGGGACCCACGGCTTCTTCAATTTTGAGCTGTGACCCCTTGTGGGGCGAGCGTCCGCCAGCTCCAAGTAAGGACACTCGACTGAGTAGTGCCCCTTGAGATGCTTATACACCTCAATTAGGTCGTCCCTTTCCCGTAAGCTAGGCAAGTTCAGGCGCTCCAATCTCTCAGGGTAGTTGAGGTGCCGAAGTGCAGGCACCAGTCTGGTGGCCGTCCTTTGAACATTTTCAACCAACTGATAGTCCCTAGCATATCTCAGGGACCAGACGGGGTGACAGTACTCCAGATGGGGAAGCACTTCACTCTTGAAGATCGTTACGACGGACGGACCGTGTAGATATCTGGGTTGCATTGCATTGCAATCTAAAGAGACTTTTTATTTGTACGCTTTATACTACCATCAATTATCCACTCCACGAAGAGTTAAGAACCAACAAATATTAACTGTTAACCACCCCCCCCCCGCTGCACAACCGCTACATTGACTTCCCAATCGTTAATTTAGGAGCATTTACACTCTCTGCCAGAGAGTGTTGTGACGGCACCGAGTGTGAGCTCTTTCAAGACCAGACTTGACCAACACTGGAGCAGGTTCAGATGCATTCAGGAGCCGGTGCATGCCCAGTACTTGCCAACAGTGCGTAACAGAGACGTGACCGATCGCCTAAGCGGCTACCGAGCCGATCAGTGGTAAGAGGATAAAGTAAAAGTAACTTGAAAAAAAAAAGATTTGAAGGTAAAATCTTAAATATTATGCCTGTCTGTCAGTTTAACATTATTCACTTATACATATTTGGCTTCTTACGAGTTTAACTGAATTATAAATATCCGTTCAAAAGCTATAAATATTTAATATAAAAATAATTAAACATTGGTAATATTACAGCCTTTCTATATTTTGAGCTGGTTGGTAATCAAGTATAAGAAACGAAATGAATTATGTCAATGTTAAAGAACATAGATATGATATAATTCAAGTATTCTTAGAAACAAGAAAACATATTTGAACGATGCTCTTTTGTTTCTCCGGCACCCACATGAATATATTGTACGCAGGTGCGGGAACAGATTCTGTCAGTGTCAGTGTAGGTGTTGTTTCGTACATACTACTTGCGATGTCCGGAGTGAAATGCTTTTATTAAATTTGTATGTGATTCGGAATACAAGTTTTTAGAGAGATAAGAAGTCCATATCAAGCCTCTGCGTCCAAGGTAAATTTTCGATATAGATCAATGCGCCCTACTTTAAAATCCATCTGTTTTTGTGGTTAGACGTACCAGTTTCTCTTGGGAAATTGCCTGTGACACAGATTTCGAACTCTGCGTTAAGGTTACCATCACACCACGCTGGGGGTTCATATTGCAGAGGAGCTCCTTGGTGTATTTGCGTCACGAATGTATACTCGTCCCTCCCTGTTCCATACCGACCTGAGTTCAGTTGGTAGGTGCAAGCGATTCTAGTTGGGCAATGGTGGTGGTACAAAGGCGGAGTTAGGAGATTAGTTAGTGCACCGTAGCCTAGACCAGAGCCACAGGTGTTACCTTCATCCACCCACCGCTTACCTCCACGACACCCACCCACCCAGCTCCCCTGCTCTCTGGCACTTGCTTGCTTCAGGGGTACATTTTTCTGGAGTTATATGAGTAAAAATATGCTGTTGAGCTTGTGAAAGTTAAATTAAGAAGTCTTAAATGAGTCTTATACTTGTAGAGAAAGGTCAGCCTTATGGGTGCCTCACAATGACTTGGCTTACGGTTAAGGCTCTGAATATCTCTGGTTTCTGATTCTGACTGGTGGTGTATGAGTTTGGAACTTTTGATACTTTTAGATAATGCATTTGGTTGGTAAAAGTGTATTTTTGGGTTGCTACATTAATACTGGTTTAACACTTTTGAGATTTTAGCTGTGCTTGTTTATTAATATTTTTAATAATGAAATATGCACCAAAATACTTACATTACCAGAATCTATTTCAGGCTGTCATTTGCTATTTTCATTACAATATTTACTTTTCAGAAGGGGCAAATAAGCCACTAATCACATACCTTCAGCTCTAAATTAAAACAAGCCAACATAGAGCCGAGTCTCATTTTAGTAGGAAGAAACTACTGAGTACTGTATAGGTAGTACTGTATCACTAGTTCGTTCTTAATAAAGTCAGACATACTGTACTTAAATGGTGATTTGGTTTCATCGCTGAAGTTGTGATGGCACTGGACTACTTGCACATTCAGGGTGAAATTTAAAGTACTGTACAGTATATATGTAATGGGAGTGGCAAATTTCATATTGAAACTACTGAAAGGAATATTTTACTGTGTAATTTTTTGTCACAAGGTATGACATTTAATAAATCAGTGCACTTAATTTTGATGTACAGAAAATCATTACCCAGTATTTGTTTTAATACAAAGATTGCAAGGCCAGTACTTTTACCTTTTACTTTTATACTCTTCACCACTGATAAGCTCGTTAGCCGCTTGGGCGATCTGTCACGTCTCTGTTACGCACTGTTGGCAAGTACTGGGCATGCACTGGCTCCTGAATGTACCTGAACCTGCTCCAGTCAAGTCTGGTCTTAAAAGAACTTACACTCGGTACCGTCACAACACTTTCTGGTAGATTGTTCCAAGAGTTCACAACGCTCACTCTGGAAAAGTTTGCCCTCACAGTTTTCTGGACCTGCGGCTTCTTCAATCTTGAGCTGTGACCCCTTGTGCGGTGAACGTCTGCCAGCTTCAAGTAAGGACACTTGACTGAGTAGTGCCCCTTGAGATGCTTATACACCTCAGTTAGGTCACCCCTTGCCCGTCTGCAGTATAAGCTAGGCAAGTTCAGGCGCTCCAATCTCTCAGGGTAGTTGAGGTGCCAAAGTACAGGCACCAGTCTGGTGGCCCTCCTTTGAACATTTTCAACCAACTGATAGTCCCTAGTATATCTCGGAGACCAGACTGGGTGACAGTACTCCAGGTGGGGAAGCACTTTACTCTTCAAGATCGTTATGAGGGACAGACCGTCTAGATATATGAACGACCTTCTTATAAGACTTAATAATTTATTTTCCCGGTTTACCTTCTCTCAATGGCCCGAAAACTTCAGCTCATTGTCAACATACACACCTAGGTCCTTCTCACATTGTCTCAAATAGTGCAGTTTCTTCATCCTGTTGGGACATATGATACTCCTCTTTACCATTGGTACATCCCAGGTGCTTCCTCTTACACAGAGTTCTTTCTGCAGCTCTTCAGAGTCGTCTTGGTTCTTGATTTCCCGAAATAATTTGGTGGCATCGTCAAACATTTGTATGGAGGCGTGTACAACGTCAGGCATGTCATTTATGAAACAAATAAACAACAGCGGGCCCGATACACTGCCCTGTGGTACCCCGCTTGTGACAGGTACAGATGATGATTTCGTGCCATTATTCACCACACCCTGCTTGCGGTCATGTAGAAAGTCTTCTATCCACGCTAGGACATTTCCCCGAATTCTGTACCCTTCCAGTTTGATTTTCAGCCTTTCGTGGGATGCACTGTTGAAAGCCTTAGCAAAATCTAGGTGTATACAATATTGTCGATATTACCACTCTGTTCCAGAATATGGGTCCAAATATCCAAGATACCTTGAGAAATTGTGTTAAGCAGGAGCGCCCCTGCATAAAACCGTGTTGGCAATCCTTTACAAGGTTATTTCGTAGTAGATGTTCCATCGCGGCATCTCTGATAATACTCTCAAGTACTTTACATATTATGCTGGTCAGGCTCACTGGTCTATAGTTGTTCATGGAGTGACAATCGCCCTTCTTAAAGATAGGACTCACATAAGCCATTTGCTAATCACTGGGGACCTTTTGTTCATCCAGGCATTTACAGAACAGGATCTTCAGGGGCTCGGCAAGCTCGTTGCACAACTCTCTTAGCACTCCGGGATGCACCATGTTAGGGCCGGGATTCTTATGGACCTTTAACTTTGACAGTTTATTTCTTATACCCTTTTTTGTGAACACAATGTGGGTCAGTGTTGTGTCATACCGTCTGTCCTCAAATGCAGGAAGGTTAATCGCATCCTCTCTTGTGAACACCGAGGAAAAGAAGCTGGTCAATGCCTCAGCTTTATCCTACAGGGTACTTGCATTTTTAATTTCGACTTTGCATAGCGGTAAAATGCCTTTGGGTTTGACTTGACCTTGCTTGCAACTAGTCTCTGGAACTCCTTTTCAGCCCTTCTGCACTCTGCCTTTGCTTGGAAGCAAGGAAAAAATATTGAAAAATTTTCTTAGAAAATTCAAAAAGGCTGTGCACTGCCACCCCTTCAGAGCTTCAGTGATTTAAGAAGGCAGTGGATATTTCGCTGTGACTGGCTAAGTTTCTATTACCACTATTTTACCATGAGTGCGCTCTGATTGGCTAATCGTCCATTATCGGTGAACAATGCAAGAACTATATTTGACTGTGACATTGGTGGCATTTGGTATTTATTTCATCGTGGGTCATTAGTTGTGCAGTTATTAACATATCTGACCATATTTCTGTTGTGCAGGGAAGCTACTAACAGAAATTGAAGTAAAGATTCGTTTTAGATTGAACATTGAATTTCATATTTCTATTTGTATAGGGAGAAAGCCCCAAAAAAGAAAAACACAAAATTATTGTATATTACGTTTCCGGCGCAAATTTATATAATTTTTAGAAATTTTAACCTGTAAGATTCCCCAATTACCAATAACATTGGTTGTTCAAATTGGGCAGTAGAGGGAAAATGTGGGGTAAAATTCTAAAAAGAACACCAAACAAGCCTTTGAAAACCTTACCTAACTTGTAAAAAGGTTAAAAATACGGTAATGTCTGAGACCACCACGACCACCAGAAGGAGGTGTTCGATTTTGTTCATTTTTTCCACATGTTCTTATCATTATAAAAGAGGCGACATTTACTAGAACCTAATAGAACCTGACCTAACCATCATATTAAACAGAAAGTACTTCACCAATCAGAGCGCATTCATGGTAAAATAGCGTTTGTAGGAACTTAGCCGGTCACAGCAAAATAGCCACTACGATTTAGAAAATAATCACTGAACTATGTCTACTTTTTACAGGAAAATACCCTGCTGAAATCAATTGTAATTATAAGCTGAGGTTAATTATGTGGACAATTTCATCACGTTGTCACTTTTGCTGGCCGAGAATTGAATGATAGGAGAAACCTAAACTTACCTAACCTATTGATATTATTGATATACAGGTATTGATATTGAAACAGTTTATTTAGCCAGAAAAACACATATACAGAGTCGATTATAATACCAATATTAACATGGCTGAGCCACTTGAGAGCCTGAGCTCTCTGGCGGGCACCTGATATATACCTGTACTGGGGTTAGGCTCATCTTTTTACCCAAGAAAAATTGCCAACTTGTACCCACGCCAACTCGTACCTAAGATAACTCGCACCCAACTCGCCCTCTGATTTTTTTTTTAGATGGAAGCACAGGCTTTATGTAGTACTGCAGAATACAAAGTAACCATAATTAGACAACGAAAGCGGCATGTTGAGAACAACAATTCCCCAGAGGCAGGCTAGAATGGTTGCATATAAAATTGTACACAATCAGTTCACAGTAGTGATAGAATGCTGCCAAATAGATAATGATGACATCAGAAATGAGGCTCACAAATTTGCAGAAATGTATCCCTTGATTAACAACCATAAGTAAGAACTGGACTTATTATTGTGTTGTAAATTCTCAGCTTTGTTGTTCTTGATACTGAACTTTGTTTAGTCTGCCCACAAGACTGTAGTAGAATCTATTACAAGCTCCAATCCTTGCTATAATTTACTTTGGTTTTACATAATTTCTTCTTCAATCTTGTACAGGTATTCTTATGTCATAAGTGATCCAAGGTATTTAAAGGATTCGATTTTTTAAATATTCATTCCACTTATACCGATATGTTGTGGGATTTGCCTTTGGTTTCTTTCCATGATCATTGTTTTGGTCTTATCCACATTTATTTCAAGTCCTGTTGAATTGGCTATTTCCTTAAAGGTTATTGCCAGCGTATCTACTTCTTGGATCCAGTTCATCAGTGTATACGAGCATTCTAATTTTGATCTTATTTAATTAATTTCCTTTCCGCATATGGTGGATTTCTCTTGATATATATATATATATATATATATATATATATATATATATATATATATATATATATATATATATATATATATATATATATATATATATATATATATATATATATATATATATTGTATGTATATATATGGGTACAAACTGTCTTGTAAATTGGGTACGAGTTATCTTGTAATTGGGTATGACTTGACATGTGCTGAGGGGTACTGTAAATTTCAAGTTTAACCGAGTTCGTATCGGAGGCGTTCGTAAATCAGGGACCCACTGTACAATGCAATACATAGCAT